ACTCTTGTTATATTGTGGACTAGAAGAAACAATTTTGAGAAATTATATTATATCAAATCGATGGCAATAAGACGTCTTCAGGCTCTACAAATTGGCCATGAGCTCAGGAATTTTTCTTTAACTTGTGGAAACTTCGTAAAAGATCGTAGAAATTAAGTAAACTTGGTAGAAATTCTGGGAAATTTAAGACCTTCAGAAAAATTCGTAGAAAAAAGGAACTTGGAAAAGTTCTCAAAACTGCGTAGAAGTAGAGAATTCATTTAAATTTGAGGACCTTCGTAGAAGTTAAAGGAGCATTATTTTATTTTAGGGAAGCTCATTATTGATCGGGAACCTCTACATAATTTCAGTTTTTTTTAGCCTCATGGACTTGGAGTAGATGTTAAAATTGAACAGCAAACTTTGTAGAAGATTTTAGAATTTCGTAGCATTTTGAGGAGCTGCGTATAACTTCATATACACACTTAGATTTTTTTGCCGGGATGGGCAACACCGAGAAATTTTAAAAAAGTTCAGGGAATTATTTTAAGAGATCTAGAAATAGTTTAATAAACTTCTAAGAACTTCAGGGATCTTCGCTTCAGCTTAGGGAACTTCGTTGCAGTTTATCAGAGATCTTACTCCAAAAAAGCTCCATGAACTTTTTGGAGGTTTTGAGAACTTTGCTAAATTCAAGGAACTTTCTAGGTGTGCAAGAATATTTGTAGATGTCTTAGGTGTCTTCCCAGAAGTGCAAAGATGTTCAAAGATCTTTGAAGAATTTAAAGAAATGGAAAAAAAAATATGGAATTTGGAATAAATTCAGGGAACTTCGAAGAAGTTGAGGAAATTTTGTAAAACCTTAGGTTTGTAGATGTTCAGGAAACGTTACATAAGTTACAGGATATTCTTTCAAACATCCTTCCTAGATATCAGGAAATATTCGAAAGATCTCCATATAGTCCAAGATATTAGTAAAGTTCACTGGATATTTGGTAGGTTGTAGGTTGATCAGGAAGTATTCAAAAGTTTTCCAGCTAATGGAACCAGATGGAATCTTGAATGATGAATCTTGATTTTATGGCCAAATTTGTACATTTTCTATAGGAAATACCCGTGCCTTGGTGTTTTAGCTATATTGTCACAAATTTGCGCTCCAGCAGCTAAATTCCGCGCGGAAATTTTAATTTCTGCATATACCTAATATGTATAAATTTCTTTCTTTTCGATGAATTGTATGCCCAGAATTCAGCTACAGGATAGTTTGCATGGATCAGCACATAAAAAATTCCGTGCTTTTTGTGTGTATTTTTTGATTAAATTACCTGAAAAAGTTCTTTCCTGTATAATGTACGTGTAAATAATAAATTGATACCAAATGGGTTAAACCACAACTTACTAAATTAAAAATATTAAAAACATCGCAAATTTTGCAAAAATAAGTTAAATGACTATCTAGTTATAAACAGGAACACAATCATGCATGTTTCGAGTTCAATCCTTTCGATTAGAAATATAGTTAAATCTTGATTTTGAAAGTTAGCTCTAAAATTTAAAAAAAATGTTCTGGATAAGTGCTATATTACTTTTTTTTTTCACTTCAAATATCAGAATCATGACATTCAAAATCCGGTATCTTAAAAACCTGATGAAATTAAATTATAACCTGATTATTCACAATTTTTGCCACATGTCAAGATTTTTCGAAATTTTTGATTCCTAATGTTTTCTTACTTTCTTATCTCGAACAATTTTTCTCTCGAGAAATGCTGTGAGGCTCAGAATCTAGGTAAGTCTCCTAAGATCTTGAATTACGAATTTTGAAGACCAGGAGATTAAAAACTTGTCTAAGTCTATGATATGAGCATATGATGATATGCTTGACATTTCCCATTTTTAAAATAATTTCTTGTTTAAAATCAACAGCATTGCTATCGATGCGAAGAAATATTTCTGATCGATTGGTGATAAAATTATTGAAATTGGTCCAGGAGCAACTGAGTTATTAACGTTCAAAATCTTTCATAATTTCGTTACATGTTCCATTTTCAGTTTTCACAAAGTTTACCTCTATATAGAAATCACCCACATAGTCCTACGTCCAAAAATTGTGCATCGTGAACATTTTCCTACGCCCTAAATGTATTGATTTATTATGTGTGCACTTTACCTTGAAACAACCAGAATTTTATAAAATTATAAAATTTAAACTCCTACAATTTAATTTTGGTTCCTATGTCTGAGATTTGACTGATGGTGATGTACTCAAAATCAAAAAAAAATCTAGTTACAAAATTCATGAAATTACCTAACCCTAAGAATTTTCTTAAGTTTGAGATGCTTACATTTACAAGATCCGGACTGTGATTTTATTACAAAAACATGAACAAACGATTATTGCTTGTTCAAAATCAGTAAGCGTTTAAGGATCTCTCAATCGAGGTCCCAATCGTTGTTATGGAATAAATATAATCAAAATTAATTGTTTCACCATTAAAATAATAGTAACCCTCAATGTAATATTATTGGTCACAGAAAAAAATGTACCCAAAAATAGATTACCTTGGACGCAATTTGAGTGAGTTTATAATAAACCGTAGTTTTGCAAAATTAAAAAAGTGCAGCAGGCCCCCCTTCGGCCCCCTCTAGATAAATTTTCTAGCTACGCCAATGTCTACACCCTTAATTATTTCGGTGTACGGCAGTGTATCACCGGTGTAGCTAACCGCAAAAACGAAAACGACATAAGAGAGGCTCCAGTCCACATCCACATACAGCAGGTACATATTTAAAAATAAAACTAAGTCCACAGCGAACTTCAAATGATTCTAGCTGTAAGTGTTTTATTATGACTTCTTTCATGAAAAAAGTTAGGCCTTTGTTAAATGCTGATCATGAAATATTGAACAATGTTCATTTACAACATTTTTTGATTATACCAACTACATAGAACTCTTAAAGACGCAAAACAAACGTTAAACATTTTTGTCCGTCGGCGCCTGTTTGAATGACTTTAAATCTCCCATAAATAGTGACCGAATATGTTAAAAGCTTTATTTCCAAATGGAGCAAGTTGGGGCAGGATTTGCCTTCAGTACTTGTAAGAATAGACTCAACATATTATCTAGAGCCTATCTAGTGAAAAGTTCGATAATTTAATAAGCTTGCTATCTTCACTACACACTTACCCACTCGGCCTCTCATACACTAACGCAATCATCGCCTCACTTTCCTTTGCGCTCATAAGAAGTTGGTTCAAACATTAAATTTAATAAACTAGAAGTTGAGCAACTTTTCTGTAGAACGCCTTTAATAACAGGACAACGCAAAAATAAACCTAGTCTCAATTATTTTCATAAAATGAGCATAACCTTGCCTTTCGGATAACCTTAATCAAGGAAAATCATAATTTTTGCACGGTCAAGGTACGCCAAAAGTATAGCTTAATGGCACGTTTTTAGTTGTACATACTCTATTTGCTTGGAAGCAACACAACAGAGCATCGAAGTCGGGTTAAGTAACATACCGGCTCATTGACCTTAACAGAGTAAAAAGAAAGAAAAAAAAACAAACGGTGAAGTTGTCCATGTCGGAGCCAATCTGTGTTTTTTATGGAGTTGTTGAATCATGTGAGGATCATGAAAAGCTCGAAAACTAATTATATATTTCATAATAATGTTGGCTCGTGGTGGTAAATTTGTGTACATAAAAATGTCGCTGAAATTTAAATGCCATTGAAAGAAATTAAGTTACTAGTTTTGATTTTATTTATCGAATATCGAAAGTCACCTACACTGAAAACCAAACTAACTCAGAGAGTGAGTCACTTTTACTCAAGTTGTGAGTAACTTTTACTCGTTCGTATGGATAAATTTCTAAAATCGCATGAGTAATCAACGCTTTTAGAAATTGCTCCATACGAATGAGTAAAAGTGCCTAACTCTCTAAGTAAGATTTGTTTTCAGTGTATTATATTTTTTGAAAGCTTGCGAATCTGCACGACCGCTGAAAATAGCTCGCTGAGAGAGTAACTTTTACTCAATTGTACAAGAAACGTCGTCAGTATTACGTGATCCCAGCTTCAACGGAATTTCTTATATAACTGGAAAAGGTAACTCTTACTTTCAGAGGCCGTGTAGAATTATCTTAAGCAAAGAATACCTACGCTGTCACATGAATGCGTTACAACAATCATACTAGAAATAGGTTACTAATATTTTGGTAAAATTGATATATTTCGTTTATCAATGTTGATCGTCGTAACCGATTCTCGGTAAACAATACCTTGCTTTTGAATAATTGATCTAAGTACCGTAGACGCCGTAGACTACTACCTTAGTAATTAAAACTAAAATTCTTCTACCAGGCTTATTAGTGTTCGAAACATAAATGTGAAACTTTTGGTTAGCCAACTTAGCACAGTGTGTCATTTGTCGTTGTGCTTGACGGTATACAACATTAAAAAAAATCATATTTTCGGAATGAATCAAATTTAAAACTGGAGGTAGGAAAATGAAATAATCTGAAGATTGATTCGATACGCAGTGCTGCAGATAGGTAAATTAATATCCTAATTTTCTCTGCATAGTGTGAAAAACCTTTACCATCTTCGCTGAAATTGGATGCCACAATCTTACATAACACCCGGTCAGTTGCAGCCGGCAGTGGCACGTTCCTTTTGCCATAGCGCAAAAGAAACCCACACACCGCCCAATATCACAGCCATCAATTTAAAAATTAGCGTGAAATTACGGCAAATGATCCGAAAAACAAACTTGCCCATTTTGAAGATCACATCTCTCTCATGGCAAAACCGATGCACATGAGAAAGCCCGAAAAGATGTGAATATTCGATTGCTCCGAACCAATAAATATGATTCGCTCAATGCGATTGTCCGATCTACTTTTGTGAAACGGTACCGAGCTGCCTTATGCAAAAAAATCTCGGTAATGAAAATTATGATCTGTATGGCTTAATTTTTAATTGTTATTTTTTTTTTGTCATTTTCATTTCTAGATAATGTGATCATCGGGTTGCTCCGACTGGTGAGCTAGATTCCTCTACACGACCACGACCGGTCTATGTGTTGGCACAAACTATGGCACTGCGATTGCGCAAGGATGTTCAGAAGGCATCCTACTACGTTTGGTTCCTCGGAGCACAGGAAGCAAAAGGGCTACGAGGATCCCGAGTTCTGTTGCCGGTAATTCCACGACTCATCGAAAAATCCAAGGAGCATGAACCATTGAAAGTTACACTGCAGGTGTCCCATAAAGGGCTGAAAATTATTCAAGTAAGTATCATCAATTCTGTTATTGTCAGCTGATAGGAATATACATTTTCGAAGAAAACTACCCTTTCTAGTTGGTTAGGGTTAGAAGAAAAATGTGTTGCTAGCTGATGAGATTTTTCTATAGCATTTGGTCAGATAACACCGCATCTCCGAATGAACTACCGTATGATATGATAATGCATAGGGCGATGCAGAGTAACTTGAGGGATTTAAGGTACAGGGAAAGAGATTTGAATTTAAGTTAGCTGAGTTGAAGGCTATATATGTTATGTATCTTATATATACAGATAGCAACAATTCATAGTTATGTCCAAGATTATTAATCGCTACCGTCTGCAATGCATATTCACCGTTGCAGACGTTAGCGGTAACGTTATCGACGGTTATCGATTGGGTTGTGGTTATGATAATTTTTTTAGTGGTAGTTGCTCAGCCTCACCCTGTTATTGATTCAATTAACGATTTTCATTTGAATATTGGGTACAGTTGCTACCAATTTATACATAAATTGATGTAAGAGTAGGGGAAGACGGGGGATAACGGTAACCATCTGGATTATTGAATCATTCAGCTTTTAAAATAAATAGTTGCTGTGCTTCTATGTTATATATATTGTATATACGTTTCAGCTTGAAAACACGTGAAACGTTAAATAAACAACAAAAACAAATATTCTTATATGCATAGCGTTCTTCGTTTCTGAATTTCATCAGCTTTTTTTTTACGCGGTACATGAGTTGATGGGTCGTTAGGTAGGGTTAAGGTGTGGGAGCTGTCTCCCTGGCGTTGGTACTCAGTACAGAAAACAAGAGCGACATAATAAAAACCCAGAAAAAAAAAAATCATAATTTTATATGACTGAGACATGTTAACCTAATTTTGGTTTCAATATGATCTCCAGCTTTGCTTGGGTTCATATGAAATGCTTTACTCTGAATGCCATTACCCCGAATGTATCCCAAAAAACTATTCCGAATTTCTAAGAAATATATCAAGATGAAAGTTTTTCTTATTTATTGATAAATTAATTAAATTTGACAAATTTTTGCTTATTTTCGGTATTGTTTTGTTTGATTCCTTTCAAAATGCTATAGAGTTCAGATTGGTTTTGTGAAAAATACTCAGAGCACAAAAATTCAGTAGAATAAAAGATCGATAGAGTAATATACCGAGTAGAGCAATCAAAATGCTCAAATTTATTATCTATAATTGCGATGACTTCCTTTTTTAAAAATGCGCAGTTTTCTGACCGATAAATACTATTGAACAATCTAAAGAAAATTTAAAAAATTAATGTCTATCTCTTGGGGATGACTGCTTCTTTGAAACATGAGCAATTTTTTAACAGATCAAAGCTATTGAATAATCGTACTGAAAAACTCGAAAGCCGTTTCTCTCCTTGGAGATGATTCCTTCTTAAAGCAAGAGCAGTTCTTGGACAGAAAAAAGCCAACAACTATCGCGTAACAGTTTAAAAGGGCTTATCTGCTTTTGTAAGCAAAACATGTAATGCCTCTTTCCGGCAAACCGATGGCCGCCTACGCAAACCAAGCACACCCGCGAAGGGGAGATTTTCTCCTAACTGATGGTGTTTGATGCCAGTGATTTTGTTGCTATGTCTCGGGGGCTCCTGGAAGTGATAAGAATTTAAATTGAGTCAAAAGTTATCTTGCCACGCATCAAACCGCATGAAAGTTCAATGATAGTAATATTGGGAAAGTGGTATCAAATCACATAAAATTGCAAGTAGATTTAAGATCTAATTTCTGTCATTATAAGTACAACCCACACCTTACCTCAATAATACGATCAGGTTTGAACAAATAATGGAAAATTGCTACCTATGATGACTTCTTATATAAGATATTGATAAAAAATAAAAACTTTAATTACGTCATACGAGTTTCAATTCCGTCACAAAACATTGAAAGGCCATTGCATTCATTTTGACATACGAATGAAGGGAGACAAATTGATTCGCTACACGGAGATGAAAATCTATCCAAAATTAAGTACTTTTCCCTCAATTCCCGGGTACAGCCCAATAATCCAATTTTGAGCAAATCGCATATAGTAGTTTCCATTTAAAGTGATTCCTTGTAGAGTCCACAAATGTAGGCTATACATGCACTTCCACTTCGAATTTTCAATTACACAAATCTCGGAAATCGGTGCCACCTGAAATTGATACTTCATGTATGCTGAAGTGCAGCAAACGTGAAGTAACAATTTGAATGTTGCATGTGTCGTAGAAGCTGATATTTGTGGACTTAAAGTTTCGAAGTGGTTCCGAGAATAATTATGTCACCTTAAAACCAGCAACAACAAAATACTTACTCTCAAGTATATTCTACTCAAAATTAAATTTAACTCACGTAAATTTGAGAATATTCAATTTACTCAAAAATAGCTTATTGGGCTGAGCTATACTGCCGTTCTACGCATATCAGTCCCATGTTTCAAAAGTTGCTTCTGAGTAAATCGCGAATAATGTTTTGAATCATTTCTGCTCATTGGAAGAAATATACGTTAAAATAAGTTACCGCATTGTTCACATTTCAACGGAATCAACATGTTTTAGTGAAAACTACAGAAATTACTTTCAATGAAATCAGTTAAGCCTATTTTTATACGAAAAACATTTAGTGGGAATATTATGCCTAGAAATTTGCAACGAAGTAGGATATTCTACGCATGTTAGTCCCACTAGGAACTGTTACTTTCAATGTTGCTTTGATGGGCACGTTGCGTTTGACGTCTTTACGTCTTACTGTGCTTGTATGAGCGTGCTTGCGTTCTCTCCGAAGTTTTGGAAGATCCATCATTAAATTATACCAACAATAAATTTGTTGACATTGCTACTTCTATAAAACTATTAAAACTATGGGCATTGCAAGAAACTAATGATGAATGCACTATTTAGAACATAAAGTTATTAACATCTTGTTCTACTCCTTAGCAAGATGAACGTAGGTCTAAAGGAGATTGTGCTTAATCATTTTAAGTCCAACCATAGATTTATGGCGGCTGACATGCTGTGGACAAGAGATCAATACGTTACACGATCGTTGACCGTGGGATTTGATGATTTCAAGAAATACTTTGGATGAGTTGACATGCACATGCAAATTTCTTCCGTACGGAATTGACCTTTATGCTGCGTATTATCATATTATAAAAGGGGCTTTTCATGAAACACGTAGACACTATAGGGGGAGTGTGGGGGTAGCGAGTGTCTACGTAAGTGTCTAATAATGCATTGTTTGAAATAAGAAACTGGTGTTTTAATATGAAATCCCGGTTTTCTTAATATTTATCAACATAAAATAAAACTTCCACTTCCTAAAATGGTTCATACCGTTTCTTTTGATTACATAAATCCTGTTTCAATAATTTGTGTACACAAATTGATTCTTTAATGATAGATTCAGTCAAGAAAATCTTTGTGGGACAATTATGCGTAGAAATTCAACATGGGACAATTAGGCTTGATATTGTTTTTTATAAAACCCAGAACAAATTATATGTTTTTATATTTTCATTCCAAAGTCTACCTAAAAAAGTACTGTTTTATGAACAAAAGTGAAGAACGTCCAAAAGTAACATGAGACAGATATGCGTAGAACGGCAGTATATCGTTGGGTCAAATCTTTCGTTCATTTTATGACAACAATAACTAGTGAAAGTGAGAGGCTCAACTCAAAATTAAGTAAAACGAACTCAAATTTAGGGTAGTATTTTTTTCTCCGTGTAGGAGCGCTAATTTTGTTGATGAGAATAACGGATGTAAATATTCATATTCCCCCTATTCTGCGAGTCACGTGACTCTCTCTTACCGTCACGTGATTCATGTAATTCTTATAAACGTTGTTTTGTAGCTTTTGAACTAAACTATCGTAACAATCGTATGACTGATTCGTTCACATCGAAATCATTGATATAGGTTTATTGTCCCTAATGTCTGCCTAAGTGTCCTTAATATTGGGCGCATGCATACATTTCGAAAGAAAGCCTTTTTGTAATTTTTTCACTTGCTTCCAAAAATATCATTTGTATTATCTAGATGACGTATTATTCCATGAAAAATTGAGGCACAGGAGATCTTTATCGATGGACTCAATCTTTAGATCAATAGGCCAAAATTCGAGCCATATCCCCTATTTGATGTTTCTGTTCGATATGACGGAAATGTGAGTTTATGCTGAAGTAGTGCTCCAACCTACATTATCATTTGCGGTCATTTTAAGCGCCAAAACTCGGATGACCACATCCGGGCATGTTTCGAGCGCTCCCTGTCCAAAATCTGCCATGAGCCAAATTGTATCGCAAGAAAATTCAGGCACATTCTCTATAGGGTAGAGAACTACTTCGGCCTAATCGCCCATTTTGGGCCTATCGAGCAGAAAACTTCAAATAAATTCAAATAAATTTGGTACGATACTTTAGTTAATAAGCTACGGAACGAAGTCAATGAGAATGCGCGATATGAAGGCTTGCACCCATTATTCCCAAAAACAAAAGAAGCGCTCCGACCGAATCAATTTTTATCTTCATCTGAAAGGCCGAAGTGAATTCATTGACGTTTCAATGGCGTTTCAATGCGTTAGACCGAGTTTAGAATCCGTAGGCCGAGTTTGGCGTCAAGAAGCAATGTTAGACTTTTGACCATATCTCAACGATTGGTTTCTCTTTATCAAATCTTACGGTACATACGGAAAGGTAAATAAATTTGGAAGCCATCAGTAATAATAACATTTCGTTTGGTGCTAAACTACGCTAGATTAAGAAAGATTAAATGAAGGTTGTGCTTAATAGGCCGGAAATGGGGTATTTAACCCTACCTACCGATCAGAAATTATCTTACTTCTCTTACCTGAATGTGGACTTGAGCCATTTTTAATTTAAATAAGTAAGAATTTTAATTTAATATAAATAAGTAAGAAGGAGGGGCCTCCCTTAGCACAGTCGGTAAATGCGCAGCTACAAAGCAAGACCATGCTGGAGGTGGCTGGGTTCAGTTCCTGGTCCGGTCTAGGAATTTTTCGGGTTGGAAAATTTCTCAACTTCCCTGGGCATAGAAGTATGATTGGACTTGCCACACAATTATACCAATGCAAAAATGGTACAGGCATCGAAAGCTCTCAATTAATAACTGTGGAAGTGCATCTAGAACACTAAGTTGAGAGCACGCAATAAGCTAATATGCGATATGCAATGAGCTTGAAATGCGAAGAAGAAGAAGAAGTAAGAAGGATAACCCAGACAACCAGAATGCACGTATATTCAAAGTTTTTTCTGTTATATACAAACATATATTCAAACAAACAAATTGTATTGAATGCAAAAAAGAGGCTTCTACCTACAAAAGTGGAGGCCATTTAGTGGAAATGTTGGCCTATGGATCTAAGATTGGACCCATCAATTTTGATGAACGCGTCATTGGGACGGTACTAATGAATATTTTGGTCGCTATTGAAAATTTAGTCGTTTGCTGAATTTATGTATGGGTCCAAATTAGGGGCACTTAGGCCAACATTTCATCCATTTCCCCTATTTCATACTTATATACGATGTTGAATTAAACTGTAGCTATTTACGATACTTTCTGAACATTGTTATGCGACTTCTGGCGGCTGAAAAAAAAAATGGGGCAGAAATCACTTGCACAAAACGGAATGACACTTTTAACAACCAAACAAACAAAACTGATATGAACGAATTACTTCACACAATACGGGGATCGGACTCAAAGAAGCTTTACAACGAATCTTATTTTCTCAGATGATTATGTTTACCGGTTCTAAACGTAGAGTCGTATTATTATTATTATTATTTTTTCAAATTAAATATTAGCTGCAAAGCCGAAAGTAAAAATCATCATCCTCACTTATCTGCATTTTCCAATTTATTCAACAGGGCTCAGCCAAACACTTCATCCCGCATGGTGCTATAACATGTTCTGTGCAGACAGAAGATATTGTAGCGTGCATACTACTGTTATACAACCCGGCCACGAAATGCCCATTGCATGTCCACGCGTATCGATGCGATTCGGAAATGACCGCACAGGCCCTGAACGAACAACTGCAGATACTGATCAATAGACCCGAAAATCAGAAAAGATTCGCTGAGCTAGAAACTAGGTAAGTTTGTGTCACACTCAATTTCATGCTTTTTCCACCCGTTTGGCTTCGGCCAAATTAAATCATGAGATGAAATCAACCAGCTAATTATGTAAGCTCCCACAAGCGGTTAAGTCATACACTTCGGATGGTAATACCTACTACCCTCTCGGGTAATGTGTGACATACTTTACCAATTATTCCGTTTTATGCACTAGATTTCAGATCAACAGTACTCTTCTACGATGACAAATGAAGCGATTGAAACAAAGTGTCATTAAACTTAAATAAAAGTGCCTGTAAATATAAATCACTGCAACCCAAGAAGATATAAGACAACAATTGAATCTTGATTTCAATTCTTCTCATCGCACTGCTCCAATGTCTGGCAGAAAGGAACTTGTTCGCCAAAATAGGTTAAGTCAATAATTACGTTAAATGAATCGTTTGAAGCTGTGTAAGCTCATCCCAATATATCGATTTCGTAATTCACACGTTTCACAGCGTTTTCTCCGAATCGAGAATTCGATTCGTGTTTGAGGCTATAACATTGAAAAAAAAACCAAGCATAAACTTTTCATCGCACATGGTGGTCGTTAGGCACCCATAAACCACACAATGATGATTCGTCTTTTAGTTTAGGCACGGAAAGCCCTCGGGTGGTTGTAGAGCGCGTGGAAAACAGGCCATCTGGAAATAAAACGAATTTTGGGAGAAAGAAGGCCTGTAAAAAGCAACAGGTTGAGATGGAAAGCAACGCAAATCTCGCATTGATCATTGTTTTAAAAGGTGTGAGATTGTTTGTGCTTGATTTGTTGCTTTGAACAAAAATATAAATAATTGGGTCACTGAACTGTATTTTCGGATTGCAGTTTTGCATTGATAAAAATAATGGGTGCCCGAGCAGAGAATGAAAACAAAATGAAAATGAAATATTTTGATATAAACGTTCGTGATAACATATTTTGCCTACCGTGTGATTGAGAAATCATAACAAAAATGAGATTTAAATGGTATATTAAGGATATTAAAAAGATACCATATCATGTTTTATTGATAACAAATCTATGTATGCGTTTTGATATCAGTTATTTCGTTAATAATAAACAAAATAGGTAATCAATATGTTTTCATAATTATGGTAAAAAAAAAAACAAAAAATTAAAATAAAAACTCAGCGGCGCCGGTGGTGCAGTAGTGAGCGTGATTACCTCTCACCCCAGCAAGCCTGGGTTCAATCCCAGTCGGCGCTGCCGGTATGTTCTGAGGCATAATATCTCTGATCACGCCTTCCTTCGGAAGGGAAGTAAAGCCGTTGGTCCCCGGTTCATGAGTTGATGGGTCGATAGGTAGGGTCCAGGTGTGGTGGCCTCCCTGGCGTCGGTAGCATTGGTGCTCAGCACGGAAAACAAGATCGACGGAAAACAAATCAATAAAAAAATAAAAACTAAATAAGTTATTATTTTGATATCATGATATCAAACTTAGTAATCTGAATGTTTTTAAATCTATTGGTTGATATCAAGATTCAAAATCGAAAAATGTTATCAATAAGTTTTCACTTATTCACCATAAAAACAAACCTATATTTCAGTCAGTTCTATCGATATCGATATCGATTTGTACATTAAATTCACAGGTAGATTCATATCAATAAATTTTGTAAAATATAACTGTACAAATCATAATTGTCTTTGTGACGTTCATAAAGAAAACAGCAAGCATGTTGATTGACTCGTAAGAAAAAAAAAAGGTTTCAGTGATAAATGTGGATGCCCTTTTCATAAAATGTCAAATTTTGTTTTTAATTATATTTTTTAGAAATATCAAAATAATATCAAGATATGAATTCAACTGAAATTGAAAAATAGTATATCAAAATATGTTATCAATATGATTTCAAAAATATAATTTAATATCATTTTGATATTATTTTGATATTATTTTGATTGCAGACTCTTGCTCGAGATGATGTCCCACATCAAGTATACTTCATATTGTCACGCGCAGAAACCGTCATAGGAATTCCTACGGCGATGGTTTCGGCGCGTTTTGTTTTTATAGAAGCTGACAATATTTTACCGACAAATACTTTGACTAAGTTCAATCGCACTAGCGGTTGTCTATGAATCAAGAATTTCGGCTCAAATATTGTTCATCTTTAGCGATCTCGACCGAACTCTATTGCGTTTTTTAATGATTTTTTTCTCCTTCCCAATTCACCGGACTCACGACGTTATATATTACAAACAAGTGAGCTGCTTGTCGAAAACAGACCTCACCCGACCCGCCGTAATTTTTCCACAACAAGTACGCACATGACAACACATTAAAATCTAATCGGTCATGTTCCAATTCTGCATGTTCAATCGTGATCGGGACATTTATTTTGTACCTCAAAACGAATAATGTTTAAACATGATCAAAATCTTAACTCATCACACTTACCCAACTGAAAAATATATCACGCACGTTCGAGGCTGTCCGGGTAGCAAAAGGGAATTAATAACAATAGTAATATCAGAATGTTTTACAACTGGACTGAACACCCCTAACCAATCCTCATTCCATGTGAATTCTAGGAAGTTTCACGCAGTCAATTCTAAAGCTGCACGATAATTAGATATGATTAACTTTTCTTTCATATCCTTTTAATTTTTGCTAAGCTGCTTTCATCAACAATCCCGGCAATACACTCCGATTAGTCAAAGGTCAAGCTCAAACCAAGGTTGCAAAGACTCATTTCAGCTAAAACAATGTTTTTCTAAATTATGAAATAATTAGATGCCATGATCAAATTTTGAATTGGTAGGATACAAGAAGAGGTTGCAAAGAATGTGTTTGACATATTAAACCTGTTTATTTCACTTCATGAGAGTCACAATCAGCGATTTTTCACAAACTCACTCACTCACTCACTCACTCACTCAGCGATCAGTAAATCGCTGATTGTGACTCATAGAAAGCAAAATTTACAGGTTTTATGTTTCCAACGCATACTTTGTAACCTCTTCTTGTAAGTTACAAGTAAAACATGCCATCATACCATCTTTTGGTTTTATTATTCCGAAAAACATTATTTTAGCTGAAATGAGTCTTTGCAACCTTGGCTCAAACACTATAGTGCTTAAAATTTTGTTGAGTAGTAGATAAAGTTTTGTATAGTATTGAGTAGTACATATTGTCAAAGAACTTCGTATGGGACCATATTTAAATAATGTAAAATTTAGGGGGAGACGAGGGTCTTCAAAAGTTGTGACCGGCCATGTATAAAGTACCATAAGACGGGATGACGATATTGGGGATCGAAATTGAAAAATGTTTATTGATGCAAATATCTTGAATATACAGAAAATGACTACACGCGATCATTAGCCTTACGTACGAAGTATATTGTGATCAAAATCAAGTGTACTCTTAATAGCTAATAAAAAATTTCCAAATACTGATCACTATCTTTCGAAGAGGTCATTTCCACGTTCAATACCTTACTCAGGAATCACTGTCGATGCGACTTCAAAATTTCTCAACATAAGTGCTTGATGTCAACAGCTGTGATATATATATATTCCTGACTGCTAAAATGACAAGTAATGCTACAACATCCAGTACAACTTTAGTTAGTATAGATCCTTTATTTCACGTAAAGTTCCCAAATTTTGAGATATTTGATGTTTTATTATCATTCAGATTTTCCTAATATCATCATGCGATAAGATGTTGATTTCGTAATCTTAAATAACACCACATTGCGCTGCTACGCAATAGCAACTCGTACTTTTTCGAGAGAGAAGAAAAGAAGAAAACTGGACCACAATTTTGATTATTATTAACACTGTTCATTAACACCCAAATGTGGTGCGCTATCAATTGCTAGCTTTTGGCTTTTTGATTTATATTCGTATACGAAACCCCCTTCACCGCGGTGCACCGGGTTGATCGAGTCGAGCCACCTAGTATCGGAACAGGAAAAAATGAGAAGAATTCAATCACCTCAAAGGCATCTGCACGACCGGAAAACGCAAAATACTTTCACTCTTAATTCGTGTCGGTCAGTGAACATCCAGAAGATACAGGATAATTGAATAATTGGTCGTTTTTTCGGTTTAAATGGATAATTTCCCAATTTGTTATTGCACATATATTAGCTTTAAATACCAATGATATTTTGGACGATCATGAGCGTTCATGAGAAGAAACAGATCTCGGTAATTCTTGAATGGGTAGGGGTAAGCTGTTTTGGAATTTAATTTAATTTTTATTGTTGTTTTATTCAAAACTCAATATCCATGCGAGGGATCTCGAGTTATATAAGAGGCTGTCCATAAGCTACGTAGACCGTTTTTAAGAAGTTTCAGACCTCCCTCCCACTGCGTATTTTTTGGAAATTTGTATGGACCATAGACACTTGGATAGTCCCACCCTATAATGCCGATGTGATTTATGAACAGCCTCTAACAAGAAGCGATGAAAGAGCGATGATCCTTACTAATTTGCAATTCTATGTACGCAAGATTGTCATAACTGATTTCTGACATCAGCGCTAGCGATCGTCTTTGAATTTATAATGAGAGTGATGTCAGTGGATACAACAACGTGAGATTGAAAAATAACTGTGGATATAAATAACAATTATTATAAATGTGTTCATCACCTCTGCAACCCTTAGAGTTGTCACTTTGTATAGCTCAGTTTTTTTTTAATTATGAAAAGTAGGCTTTTCAGTTGGGTTGACTTGTAAATTGAATACAACGGAGACCTAAAGCAAACCATGCTGTGGGTGGGGGATTCAAATTCCGGTCTAGTTGAGGGTCTTTTCGAGCTGCTAATTGTTATGGCATCATTGATTTTGTCACACTTTGTTAACTATATTCTACATAAGAAAAAGAAGAAGGCCTCCCGTAACCTTATCTATGTATTTGGCAATGGACAGGTGTTGCAGATTATTGACATGATTGAAAAAAATAAACTATAGGGCTGTCCTGAAATGATTACAATTAATATGCATTCATTTGCCTCTA